AGGTCCTGTGAGGTTTTGTTGTTGGAAGGAGGACAGGAAGGAGGAGAATGGTGTAGATTCAATAACTTTGAGAGGTGAGGAGAGTGGAAGCAATTTTCCCAAAAAAATCAACGATGGGTCTTCTTGGTAAAGGGGGTCGAAGTAAAATATTTTAATGTAGAGCAAATTAAAATACAATATTGGTAAAGAGGGTCGAAATCAAATAGCAATCTAGTAATTTAGCCCATATATAAATATTCGTTATTACCTGTCAACATTTCATTTTACCAGTGTTAACTTAGATATAGATTATCAACACTGAGGCGGGCATGAATTTAAGCATTATGCCAAAGTTCAAACCCAAATTCTTGTAGTTAGTTCCAGGACTGGTATACAACTCAAATGGTAATTGTACTGTTAGGTTGGTCTACCAGGGTCCAGGTATGATTTAAACTTCCGTGGATTTTTGTGGGCTTCACTGAAAATGCTAAACTCTCAAATGTTATATACAGTTATGCCACAGAACTCTGACAACCAAAACAAGCATTCTCTTACAAAGTCAACCATCAACCTTAGAATTTTTGCTTCTTTGATTTTGCAGAGAATAATATCAAAACTTTCATCAGTGCTAATTGGGGATTACTTAGCAACTAGAGAGCTGTTAGCTTTATGACTCGTTCGGTATTTGGTTTGAAGCATGTTCTGATATTAGGATTATGCCTCATGCATTGCTGATTTGCTTCTCCATCTTCATTTATTATATTAAAGGAACTAAAGCTTCAAATTCAGCAAATATAATATCTGAACGACGCTGAAATAGAAGCCCTTTCTTCGCCCAATAAAGGGGGATGTTGCTAACTTGAGAAGAACATGTTTTGCAGTCAATTCTGTTCTGATTATGAATATAAATAAATTTATACCAACTGAATCCTACTAAATATGTTGAACTTCTTCAACCAGAAAGTTAGAAATGCGTACTTATGAATTAAAAAAAAACAATGAAATATTATAATGCTGTTGTACCATGTAGTATATAAAATTATCAGAACTTGAAACATTTTTATCCAAAAAGACTTTGTATTAACCATGAAATCTTATAATGAAATCACACCATATGATTATTATTTTTATCAAAACTTGAAGCATTATGTATCCGCAAAGAATTTATACTTTTGAGCATTATTTATTAACAGTTTCCCAGCAGCAGCAGTAGTTATTACTGATAGTAGAGAGAAGATGACAATGTTGGCCCAATGCCATGCTGTTTCTCCCCTTCTAGAAAATTTTCGTTTGACCTGCAGCAGTTGAATAGAGAAATAAGAACATAACTCAGTTATTTAACTCCACAAATAGACAAAATGAAATTTTAGCAGCTCATACCTTTATAAAAACCATGCTGGGGAAAACAAAGGTTAGAGGAAAAAGAGTGAAAGACCCAAAAATGTTTACAAAATCTCCAATGAAAGGCAACAGTGCTGTAATGAATGTATTCATTCCAAATACCAGTGCTCTTAAAAGAAACCGGCGTATAAGATTCTCTCTCGAGAACACATCCTCTTCCAGTCTTAAGAACCTGGTATCCAGAGCCTCATGTATTGGCGCAATAAACATCTGATTTCATGGAAAATACACAGTTGACTCTGACCATTAAGAAACATGAGAACTTAATGATACAAAGAACATATAGAGGAGAACCTACATGCTGGGAAACTATGCTTTGTAGAAAAGCTGTAGAATTTATCAGAGTTTTTGCCCATTTAGGCCCACTTAAATCTTTCGGGAGATAGTCTGAAACTGATGAACCATATGCCCAGTAGCCAACTATGCTAACACCATAATATATTGTCAAACCCAACGTAAACTGTAATGTCAAAGCTTTCCTCATATTGGCAACTGCTGGCTTGCGAAGAGTTGACTGCAAAACATGGGTAGCTGCATTAATAGCTTGACGTTCAAATCTAATAATTACAGAGGTTGAAGATGATAAAAAGTACTTTATATCTTTTATATCCTGCTTCTTAGTGTCCTAACTGACCTGTATTTCTGGGAGCAAACCGGAGGTGTTGCAGACAAGAATTGCAGCAACTGCACCAAATGCATTGAAGAATTTATCCACTTTACTTCCACTAATATTGTAATCCCTCTTTTTGTTTGTGTGCCCTAAGAAAATCATGTACATAGGAAAGTAGAACCTGATGTCAAAATGTGGCCTTCAAATTAGTGCCAGGATACAAAATTTTGAAAAAAGCTATGAGGAAGAGGGAAGAGAAGTAAGCACCATCTTTAACTAGTATTGCCAAGAGAATGATATCATAGATTATTGTTAGAGTAGCCGAGGTTGCTAGCCAGTTCCTCATGGCTGACATGGTAGGAACTAGATTTGCAAAGATGAAATAGGCAAAGCCAGTTATAGTGACGAACACTTGGAGCCTCATGGGAGAGCTACTGAACTCTGAGCTGATCTCCTGATTGAAAATTTGTTCAGAGTGTCAGTTACTTCATTGAAGATTCAATTAAAGTGTCTTAGTTAAGTAGACTAGTAATAATATCTATTTCAAAATTGACTAGTCAAGCTAAATTTCTGTTAGCTACATAAATAACAAAAGAGGAATAATGTGCATTAGGATGATAGGGTCACATTGTGGCTATTGCTAAAGATTGCATAAAACAACGACCACTGTTAATTGGGAAGTGAGAGAATATCCCGAAGTTTTTCATATGTTGATACCTTTCAGTTATGACAGGTCGAATTTCAGACTGCTCTAAATTAGTTGATTTTTTCTTTTTCTCTAAGCATATTCTTTGGAATATGGAGTGCAGAACCAAATGTTAACCTCAATCACTTGTAAATCCTGTAGAGATCCTACAAAGAATAAAGTGATATATCCTTAAACCAAAATAAAGTAATACAGCCTAAAATTGGTCGAGAAAAATTTTAGATGCTTGAAAGTAACACGTGATCAGAGATGGTGACTAACTTAATAAGTAATTTGTATGATGGAATCTTGAATGGAAACGCAAAAGCATGACTTTTTTGTTTTTTATTTGGACGTCATGCTGGTAAAACAAGAAAAAGGTACCAGAGTCGGCTCATGCAGGAGCACGATAAATGAGTTGTGTGGACAATAGAAGCAAAGTCGTTCTAAAGATGGTACTTCTATCATTCAAAACCTAGGTTTTTCAATATCTTCATTTTGTTTGATTGGCGCTTTAGTGTTTTTTAGGCACATAATCTTTCTATCTAATGTGCCATGGTCGCTCTATATATAATTACAGTGTATGGATAGTATATATTCTTGAAGGGAAAGCGGAGTAAGATGAGGAATACACCGCAAGTGAAATAAATAGATTACTTGCTTGTATTTATGTAGGTTCATCATATAATATATATTTTACTATATATTATTTCATACTATAACTATATAAGCTCATATTATACATTATCACCTATACTATAATGCTACATGATGAGTAATGAAATGATAAACACAGACAGATTAGGTTTGAAAGCTGCTTCTTATTTCGAGTGATGACATTTGATAGAACTAGATGTCTGGTGCCCATTGAAGTTCCAAAAATATTCTTACTGGAAGTAAAATATAAGAATCTTTTCATAATCAAGCTTTTCTAAAAACAATTTGTTTGTTTTTGAACTGGGAAGGAAAATTGCTACTCTGTTCTTGATTCTGTAAAAAATTAATTGGAACACAATGAGGATTTTCTCAGTACATTATACATGAACAAGTAAATAGACACCTTTAGTGCTCTTCCTCCAAGAAGGACAAAGCCCATGTTACCAAGAAGCAGAGTCACAAATTGCAAGATCCATGTGGTGTAATACATTCTCTTCCCTGCAAAATAGGTCGGACATCATCAAATTAATAACAATGCATTATCATTTCTATCTATATGAATAGTATTTCTTGGTCTTTTTTCCATCTATACTTGTAGCTGTTGTGATATATTTCAAATATACTTCTTGACATCTCCCAGAATTTTTATTGGTGCTACAGGCAGACCTCATACATTATCCTGATAATGATGTTACATGTGCAGGAATTTTGCATCTCTTGGTGCACTGATTGTGTTCCGTTGTGGTTCCTCAAACTTCATATACACTGGGGCTTTGGGGGCTTAGAGGCACACTGTACATTCTCTAAAATACGGAAGGATAGAGTTACAGATGTTAAACATCCAAGAAAAGCAACAAAAAAAGGATAAAATAGTTACCAAATTATCTATGGATCTACTAATGATGAACTAAACAGCACAGAGTGAGAGATTCATCTCATGGAGAATTGTGAGAAGCTTCATATGCAGTGACCAGAAATATATAGAAAATTTGTTTGTTTAAGGAGAAAATGGTAATTCTGACAGATATGGTAATACTGACAGATACTTTCTTACATCTATTCTTCATCTAAATGAGCTTTTGTTGGTGATCTTAATGCTGAATGAGGATACAGATTGTGCTTCCTGCACAGAATGTGCATAGTTGTTCTACTATCATGCTATACTATTTTAAGCTGCAACGGTGATTATCGTCTAACCCTATTGGAGCCCTCCTCTACCATTTGTGCAAGTATGACTATGACTACATAGCATGGACTTTTTACAGGAGAGTCATGGCAAAATGAAATATCTTCAGGAGCATCATACACATCCGGTTGTGAAGAAGACGTCAACTTTCTAAAGTCAGCTTATCCTTTATCAAGTTATGTAAAGTTGTGATGAGAGGCATCAGCATACCTAGCTTCACGAGACACATAAGCTTTAAACTCTTTTTGCAACATTGCAGGGAACAGATTATATAATTTTACAAATTTAATAGCATAGTCAAAATTGGATACGTGCAAGCGAGAAAAAACTGTAGGTTATTGGTATCAAAGGCATTTTTAATCCTCATTTGGCAGAAACAACAGCATGGGTATGAATATAAAGTCTGATGTGCATAGGAGGACCAGAGATGGGTTTCAACTTTGGCCACAGTAATCAAAGATGGAGAATAACTCAATTCTGATCATGTGGAATGATTCCATAGTCTATGGTTGCAGACTAGCTGGGCCAGCAATACATTACAAGAATCTCCAGAAATCGAGGGTCGATCTTCAGTCCAAAGAGCTTAGGATGTCTCATCTGAAGTGGTAGAACTATATAAACCTCAAGGACATGGAATGGCAATGAATCTTGATTGCTCTAATATCGTCTGAACAACTCTTATTACATCTTGTTGCACTTTTCATAAATTTTTGAGTGGCACTACAGGCACACCCCCAACCACACATTGGAGCACCCCCCCTCTCTCAGTTACAATGCACGGGGCCCATTTTAGATTTTTAAAAAAAATCTAAAGTGGGCCCCGTGTACTGTAGCTGAGAGAGGGGGCGTGTCCCAATGTGTGGTTGGGGTGTGCCTGTAGTGTTTTCCTAAATTTTTTAAGAACAAGATCAATGATTAGAGACTGAAAAGCTTTAAAGTTTGGGTATCTGGAACTATCAGTGATGTCAGCGCGGTTAATGGGTCCATGTCAAGCATCAAACTGCTATGCTGTCGGAATTGAATTCAAACTAATCTCCAGCTTTTGGATTTTAATTGTGCTGGCCATAAGTGTCCAGGTCCTTAGGAACCTTCGGGAATTTTTCCCCAGAAAAGTTTTTGGCATGTAATTAGACTTTTGTTATCGTATCACTTCCATGGACAAGAGCATTGGAATGCAAATATATACAATTATTTTGAATCTGTATTCTACCACAGTGCATGTATTTGGATTTGCATCGTGTCCGAATATGAGTTGAAGGAAAAATGGTTGATATTAGCCTTCATAGAATTTTGAAGAGAATGGTTTTTTAATTTATTTTAATTCCTCTGTGCTACGTATGTATCTTTTCTTTGTTGTATTTATCTATTTGGAGTTCGAGTGCAAATGGTAATTCCCACTTCCCAGTGATGATCATTTCACTTGGTTTGGTAGGTGGGAAGATGAGGGGAGGAGAGAGACAATAATTAGATTTGCCTTTGATAGGGGGTTTTTAGAGGGGTAGGTAAGAGAGGGGAAGGAAGGGTAGAGAGGGGACATGACACAATGAACTAAAAAAACTAGAAAAAGAAAGATCCATTCAAGTTGGGAGGATTCAAAAAGAGAGCGAAAATAAAGTATAAAAACATGCATCTCTCCTCCCCTCCCCTACAACCAAACATAAAAAGGCTTAAACGGGATGTTATTACTCCAGTTCATTGCACTTCCCCTCACCTAACCTTCCCTCCTCAAACCCCCACCAAACCAAGTAAATTAAAGAGTTGCCAATAGGCAGACTAGCGAGTTTATTTTTCTTGCATATTCAGTGTCATTATTATTTATGTTTGTTTGTTGGGATACACATGCATGACGCAAAATAAATTCCAACTACAATAGAAGGCAAGCTCTCAAGTATAATAAATGCACCCATTCAGTAATTTTCTTAAATACCCAAGAAAATAGGAACGAGATGAGGTGAGAATACCAAATACGTAGCCCATGACATCTCTGTATCTGATGAATCTTCGGCCATCAATAAAGTGGAATCCAGCCAAGAGCCAGTTTGCATAGAAAGCAAAGCCCCCCACAACTGCAAGCCCAGTGAGGCCCCAAGCCCAGCCCAATGGCACCAACATCAGATTTGAGAAGCTCAGCACATAAGCACAGTTGAAACCAGTCACCAATAGTAATCCAACTTGTTGCCAAGAATCTGTGCTAACGAGGAAGAAAATTTTTAAATAAAAAAATGATGGAATGATAAGCATACGATATTTAGAAACATGACAATGTAAAAAAAAATGTTCATGTTACCATCAGTTGATGCGCACTGCATGATTTTTGTGTGTAGATCTTTAATGACATATGTTGAACAATATGGGGGCAATTAATGAGTCATTTAAACTGTTTTCACATAAATAAATTCTTGATCATCAATCTATATCTATATCTATATTAGATATAAAAGAGAATTGCCTTGTGAAAACTTTTGATTTTCATTTTTACCCTTTTAAGTTTTATAAATCTCAAAAAGGTTATTAGTTATATTTAATTATTCACTAATTATATATAACCTCTTACTAATTATACATTAATTTCCTCACTTTTTCTAAATATTTAGTCACACTATTATTTTATTAATTACGTATATATTATTTAATAGAAAATTTGAAATTTATCCCTAATTTATCTTCACATAATATTTAAAATTCTAAAAAATTAAAAATAATAAAAATTCATTAGACTTATGCATGCATGATGCCTTTGGGTTTCACCTCTTATGAAGGACTACTTGTTACATTTCATCTTATAAGCCTTTCAAAAGTATGATAATAGTATGAAAAATAATTTTTATTTATCATAATTGTAATAATATTAATAGTATAATGATTCTAATAGTATTTTTTAAATGAATAGATTACATTGTAATTTAGTAATTATACAATTTAGTAAATTATTTACTAATAGTGAATAGACCAATTATGAAATTAAAATATAGTTATTAACAATATTATAATTATGCTATGTATAATATTATTATACTTAAAAGAGAAGAAATTATCTAATATATTATAATAATTTTAATAAATTATGAACAAATTATAACAATTATCATACAGTTCTTTATACACAATTTTATCGTATAATTTATTCATTTAATCAAAATTGTAGTTATTCAGAATTTATATTGCTATACAAGTCATTTCATTATTTTACAGCCAACAAAAAAAAATAAAAACATAAAACAAAATAGGTATGTTCTCGTGCAAAGCACATGCACTATACAATTATATTAAGATGATAATTGTCACCCTGAATATATCATCATGTTAGCAAACACATCAGTATCTTTTTGTGTGGATGTATATATGTATCGTACATATGCATATATGCACACACCTACGTGCACATGTACCCACTAGGCACACATTAATTAATTTTTAAATTTTATATCCATATAAGACGAAATATGTTACCATGCATTCTGGGTAATCTCCAATATTGCTGTATTAATTACATATTACTACGTAGCTTAAAAGTGAAACTTGCCAAAATTAGAACCAAGTGTCGCACACGAAGTATACACATGTAAGCTCCTTTACAAAACCTCTGTATCAATTTTAGCAAAAGATAGTGCACGCGCAAAAACGCTGCGGAAAAATCTTCTCAGGATCTGGCTAATGCTGCAGTTCTATAGGTGAAAAAAATATTACTATTTTTTCAAAGTATAGTATATCGCACACAGGATTTGGTTTCAAAAATAGATTCATTGCAAGAATCTCATTTCCCCTTCATCACCTCTTTGTAATCAGAGTATTATCATACATACTTATAATTAAGCTTTATATTCATGATCCTGAGCATTTCTTGAGAGAACTTTAAATATTTCATGTCATAAACTGACCTTTGTCGACTGCATGAGCGGAAACACTCGCATACTCTGCTACTTGCTGCCCTGATTCTACACTCAAAACATCGATTTTCACGCTGGTTGACTCGAAGTCTTTTTGCTTCGATTCCATTCTTCTTCTTCTTCTTCTTCTTCTGCTGCTGCTGCTGCTGAGGGAGAGAAGAAGAAAATGGAGACTCGAGGAGTTTGCAGTTGTTGATTTAGCTACTGCTACCCGTGAACTTTTATAGGGTAAGAAGAGAGGAGTGAAGTTTGTTTTGTTTTAGACTTTGAAAGCAGCAGGCTGTCTTACTCTTACATCTCGTACTTTACAAAACTGCCCTTGCCTGAAGAGTAAAATTTGACGTTAGCACCTAGTGTGCAATAATTGAATGAAGCCACATGATTTTTGTCTCCGTCTTCAGGATAGTACATTTCACATGATATCCATAGGGATTATTGTAAATTTGTTTTATAAGGTAATTTAGTCCCAGAATACTCTGTAGGTATCATTTATTATAGATCAATATATCATTCTTGCTGGGGAATCTAAACAATTAAAATCGAACCATTACTCTTCCGTACCTTATATTTGAGAGCAGGAAAGTAGGAAAAACCACAACAAATAAAAAAATAAAAAACTTACAGGAAAGTAAACAAGAAAGAACACACCAGATTTAACGAGGTTCGGCAAACGTGACTACGTCATCGGGAGCCACACCACACAATTCTTTGATTAATATTGAAGAAGATTACAATGCCCACAAATAGGATCTAATCTCTCTGAGATCTCTCTGAAGAATTCTCTCAAACCCCTCTTTTTCTGATGTCTAATCCCTTCTAAGGTGTTCCATATATATAGAAAACCTAAAATCAAAACAGACTAGAAATTCTACAACCAAAAAACAAAACAGATTAGGAATCATAAAAACATGTTACCAAAACAGATTAAGAATCCTGTTACCAAAACAAATTAAGAAACCTGCTATCCAACAATTTGTTTGATTCCAGTTTTGAGTCTACATCCCTTAGACTAACAATCTCCCAGAAACCTGCTATCCAACAATTTGTTTGATTCCAGTTTTGAGTCTACATCCCTTAGACTAACAATCTCCCACTTGGAGACCAAAGCACAATCAACTAACAATCTCCCACTTGGAGACCAAAGCACAATCAACGAGCTCACCCGAACTCTCCCTTCTTCGCAAGCGTCTTCCTACATGAAAAAAAATACATTCTTCAATCATCATAAACCCAGCGATCCTCCTAGTGTGAATCCGCCTTCATCTCCTACCCGTGAAGGCTAACTGAAATTGCGCACAACTCCAGTTTGTCAATGGTTACTGCTTTCGTCACATATTCGTAGGATTTTGACTCCCCAAAATCTTCTCTAGGTATAACTTCCCGTCCTCAATCAGTGAGCGTATAAAATGATATCGTACGTCGATGTGCTTCGTTCTGGCATGATATACTGGATTCTTAGCAAGATATATAGCGTTGTGGCTATCACAATAAAGAACTCCTCTCACTTGCTTCAGATTCAACTCTTCCAGGCACTCATTCAACCAAATCATCTCATTGCTTGCTTCAGTCACCGTGACATACTCAGCTTCAGTTATAGATAAAGTTACAATCTTCTACAGATGTAAAACCTAACTCACTGCTGTCGACGCCAATGTATAAACATATCACGTGGTGCTTTGCCTCGTATCATGATCACCGATGAAGTTCGTATCCACGTATCCCTGCAGTACCAACTCCTTCCTCCTAAAATATAGTGGCTTATCCGTAGTCCCTCTCAAGTAGCACAATATCCACTTCACGGCCTCCTAATGACGCTTCCCTAGATTGCTTGCAAACCTGCTCACAACTCCTACTGCATGGTCGATGTCCGACCTCGTACAAACCATCGCATATATGAGACTCCCAATGGCCGAAGAATATGGCACCCTGCTCATATGCTCTCTATCTGCATCTGTCTTAGGTGATTTCTCTTCAAATAGCTTGAATTGGTTTCTAAGGGGCGTGCTAACAACCTTAGCATTCTGCATGTTGAACATCTGAAGTACCTTCTCGATGTATTCAGCTTGACTCAACCTTAATATTCCTTTAGATTTATCTCTACTGATTCGTATTCCTAAAATCTGCTTCGCTGCACCCAGATCCTTTATGACAAACTCCTTTGCCAACTACTTCTTCAAGTTGTTTATCTTCTCTAAACTCGGTCCTACAACTAACATATCATCAACATACAATAATAATATGATAAAACTGGACTCGAACCTCTTGAACTAGTAACAATGATCTGAATTGTATCTTTTGTAGCCATTGTTCTGCATGAAGTTGTCGAACTTCTTGTATCACTGTCTCGGGGCATGTTTTAATCCGTACAAGCTCTTCTTGAGCTTACACACCATCTATTCCTTTCCCTCTTCAATGAAGCTAACAGGTTGATTCATGTAGATTTTTTCATCCAAGTCACCATGAAGAAAGACAATCTTCACATCTAACTACTCAAGGTAGAGATCTTCTGTAGCTACTAGGCTCAACACCACTTTGATGGTTATGAGCTTCACAATGGGAGAAAATATCTCTGTATAGTACACTCCTTCCCGCTGTTGGAACCCCTTCACGACTAATATGGCCTTGTATCTTTTGCTTCCATCATTCTCCTGCTTCACCCGATAGACCCATTTGTTATGCAAGGCTTTCTTCTGTGTAGGTAGTTGGACTAACTTCCATGTCTCATTAGTGTGTAGAGAATCCACCTCCTCTTGCATCGTATGCTCCCACTGCTGAGATTCACTCACTTTCATAGCCTCCTCATAGCACTCAGGTTCTTTACTATCTTTCAAAAGTAAATAATCAAGTGATGAGAGATATCTGAGATTCGGTTTGGGTATTCTAGATGACCTCCTAAGCTCCACGCTCTGGGTAGTCGTCTCTGCACCTGGAGCCTCCTCCGTTCTGTTGGCCTTCTTGTTTTGATGATGATTTAACAAATAATTTACATCTAATATTGTTTGTCCAGTGCTTGTGTTTTGTTATTTATTGTAGACAAACAATAAGTTGAAGGATAGAAAGATTACGCCATATCGATCATATCAAATATAGATTGGCGGAATAGTGGGTGAAGCCTATGCAATTCAAGTTGAAGATCCAAGTTCTAGCTTTATCCGTAATGTGTACAAAGTCAAGCTTATTGAAGATCAAGATCAAGCTTGGGTAATATTAGTTTAGGTTTATATTATGTGTGTTAGTACTTTAAACTCAATCATATATACACACACATTATATTGGTTTCCTTGTATATATATATATTTCTATGTGGATAAGTTGTTTTGGTTTAATTTCATAGATATGAAACAAATATATATTCATATACATACTCATATGTTTCTTATTCTATTGTATTTGTAAAAATATTGTATTCATTGTTTATAGACTTCATAACAATAGTTTATATCTTTTTTTAAGTCTATAAAATTATTTGGTAATGTTTCAAGACATGGTTAAGCTAAAAATGTCAAAACTCATGTGTTCACATTTTCATGTTTTGGACTATTTTACAAAATGATAATATTTCTTATTTGGGAGGTCCTTTTTGAAAATCAGTTTTTGTAGCATGTGTATTATCATGTTTACAAACATTTTTTAAAGTTGTATATTTTTTTGAATTTATTTGATATTTTTAAACCCAGTTTAAAGTTGAGTTTTTCTGTGCACTTCAGGTCTGTGCATGTTTAGTCGACTCATTAATCGACTCATAAGTCGACTCACGAAGTTTTCTGTGCACTTCAGGTCTGTGCATGTTTAGTCGACTCATTAATCGACTCATAAGTCGACTCACGAAGTACAACGGAGTTGTGATTTTTCTTCTGCTGAGTCAACTCATATAAGCCGACTCATTAGTCGACGCATGAGTCGACTCATAAGTCGACTTATGAAAGAGCCGTTGCACAGTAACAGTTAGTTTTCAGCAGTATTTTTTGGGGGCTTTTTTGTCTTTTTAGTTGGGTTTTGGCTAAGGTTTTGGGTGGCTATATATACCCCCTTTCTCTTATCCTTCACCCCTAACTAATAAAATGTTTTAAACAAGTTTAAAAAAGTTTTAAACAAGGTTTTAAGTTTGTTTAATGTTTGTTTAGAAGCTTTTAAGCAATTGAGGATTTGAGTTTGTGAATTCAATTCCACAAGAACTTGAGGAGATCATCTATTGGAGTTTGAGTAATCAACTATTCTTCCTCCATCTCTTGTCATCTATTGAGAAGTTTTCTAAACTCTTTTCTAGCTTTATATTTATTTGTTTGATTATCATCTTATTAAAGCTAGTTTTATATTGAGTTTAGATTTGATTAATCTCATTGTTACACACACCCACTTGAGCTTATTGTATTTGCATTCATAATATATTTAGGCTTGTGAGAGATAGTAACATTGAGTTGAGCCTAATTGAGTTCTCACCTTGTTTAGAGAACAACCATTTGTTGTGCTTAATTTGTGAAGTTTACTTTGTAATACACTTGTACACCGAGAGGAGTGTGTGGTGAGGATGGAGTCGATACCGAGAGGAGTGGCATCGGTGGTCTAGTGAGAGGTGATAATTCCGAGCATTTGAGGGAGTCGATACGTGAGGACCAACACTTGAGGTTGTAGCTTGTGTATGTACTTTGTGAGGATTTGTGAGAGTTGTCGGTTGACTTGATAACCGAGTGTGTAGAGTTTTCGATTAGCTAGAAAACCGAGTGTGTAGAGAAGTTTCAACTTCCAAACCGGGTTGTGTAGTGGATTCTCCTCGAGGGTGGAGAGCGGGGACGTAGGACGGAATGTCCGAACCTCGTGAACATATAGCGTGTTTGGTTTGCATTAGCGCACTTATAACTGTTCATCTTATAGCCTATTGCATCTTGTTTGTTTCACCCTTGTGATAGTTTATATATCCTTACATACATCATATAGTATATCTCATTGCTAGGATATATCACCTTTGTTCATATTGCATATTCTTGCTCATAAGTAATTGTATATCATCTTACAAGAACATATTTATTAATAAGTTTTAAATTGACATAAAATCGGATTAGATTAGTATAAACCCTATTCACCCCCCTCTATGGTTCTTTCCTAGCGACTTTAGCGTCTAACACGTTCTTCGGTCAGAATTGATTTTGTCGCCCCCATGTGGAAGTTCCTCCAAATCCATGTACTTGAATCCACCTGTATCCGTAGTGCAGCTCCTACTGCTTTGGCTATCATTGGCACTGTC